TTACCAGACCAACCAGTCTGTCCAACGTACTAAACTTAATATTCACGCTGAGGATCTCAGGCGCACAAACTGACATCTTAGACAACCTCCCTGGCAGTACCCACAAGATGCTACGGCTTACCTTCTACAAGAAAATGATTACCAAACTCTACTCAGCTATCAAATGTACTATCCATAGGATTGTCTGGGAAAATTTCCAAAATCTAGTCCGGTCCTCTAATAGAATGCCCTTTTCTCTCCACTAGCGCCCCCATTGCAGCGGAACAGTTCCACTACTAGATCAATCGCATCATGATCATACTTGTCCTTACATGAAAAAACCGCCATTCCGGGTCCTGAGAATCCAAGTGATACTTGAGTTAACCTGAAAACGAGAAAACTAATTAGGAAATTCCGAACAATAACGACTTATCACATGCTCGGAGAAGCACTAGACGACCATTTCCTCCTATCGAGAATGGTCAGTAGGGCGCATCCATAGGCTTCATCAGGATCCAAACCAATGACCGCCGGTGACTTGCATTACCAGCCAGCAGCTTAGGCTACTGAGCTATGGTGGACAACGGTGGACTGTCATAGTTTCCAAGGTGGTGGCGATACGGCACGTTACTTTCCGTACGATCGTTCTCAGCTTGGGTGCACAACAGTATCCAGCTAAAGGTAGGTGCATGTTCATCTTTTAGGGGACGACCTGCTTACGCTATGCCATATTGTAGTGAAAACGAATTATAGCCCGCAGTTCGAAAAACGTACTTCGTCGTGTGGTTTTTCGACGCCGATTAATTTGGGTGCTGAAATAGCACAAGTAAGGAAAAACCTTCCAAGGCTCACAGTCACATGAGGAAAAATCGGAGACAGTCCAAGCGGTCATATTACGCGACCAAGTTCGACTGGTGGCCTTTTAGGTTTGTGTTAGGATTCCGTTTCAGGTGGCGAAAAACATAGTTCCTCAAATTCAGACATATCAATAGTAGGTCTCCCCAAATACTTTGATATCGGTTGTCGGTTAGTGTGACAGATGGAATAAACATGGAATTCGTAGTTGGCCTTTGTTGTGGTGTCTCTAGCGCAACGAGATTACATTTCTACAAAGGCTCAAAAGGCGTGAACCGCGTACTGCACACAGGGCACCGAGTACGCATGAAACAGTTGCGGGAACATCGGGTGGTCAAATTGTGCTAACGCATTCCTGTGAGAGAATGATGTGCCAGTTAGTGGTTTTTGACATTCGCGTATTGCTTCGAACAGTCGTGGATCACCTAGGTCACCGCTTTGACCTCAGGTTCCTGGAGACTTACTTAGTCATCGAACATGTAAGCAGTATTTGCCATATATGTAAATTGCAATGGAGTAGCCCGTTCGTGTATGACTCAGAATCACCGTACAGTCCTCATAAGAAAATACCTGCGGTTTTCTGACTACCGATCGCTCGACATATGTCGAGTTTGTTAGTGAAAGTAAAAAAGCCATGCCATTGTACTTGCGGAGTAGTTAATGGACACCAGAAATCAATGTCGTTCAGGTCTTGAACCCGGTGAAGTACAAAATTCCGCCTCAATCATTGCACACAATTAACCGGAGCCCGCAACTGTAGTGACCGCTGAAGGATAAAACTACCTATTCATTTATAGATTGAGCCGCTGATATCATATCTTTGAAGCTTGTGATGAAGATTTCAGTTACTTAAGCGGTTATAGGCTTTTGAGGAATTAGTTATTGGACTCAGGGGAGTCACACGCAAGTGCAGATAACGGACGGAAATTTTGGTGAAAAATTATGAAACATGAAGTTTTTTCAACACGTCATTCAAGCGATAGGCTGATCGAAATATTGGTCAGAAACCAAATGTCGGATGCCAAGCGTACACAGTAGTGTATCGCAGCTATAGACGTACTAGCGCTTTAGATCTCTAATCCGGCTTCCCGCAAGTACGCCCCATCTATATGTCAGGTATGTGACTGAGGCTTGCATCTGTAGACTGGTGAAGTTCGTCACATGCGTAAGTCCGAACAAGCATAAATGAAATAAGGCAACTGCGGGAAAAAGAATCTGATTGAGATGCAGTTTGGTAGCTTTGACATCAATGAACAGTCATCTATCACGCCAAAGGCGTAGGTGCTTGACAACTCCCGCAGGACGATGCAGCCTTGTAGCGTGCTCAAAAGCCGTGACTAAAGGAGACAGATAATGGATATGATCAGAACAATCACATACTAATGTTTACTTGACGTGACCCTGATGGTTATCGTGAGGTGTTATAGGTTTACCAACATGGTCAACAAGGATATGTCCTATTGAGGGGAAGTCGTACAGATCTGGCCAACTATGGCCCGATAACACTGCTTCCGGCGCTCTCCAAAATCATGGAAGCGATTGTTTCCTAAGCGCTCATGAACTACTTGAAAGAACGTAAGCTCAAAGCACAAGAACACGGATTTCGCAAGAACCGATCTTGCACTTCAAACTTGCTACTTACTAGATCCAGTTGGACTGAGACAGTCGACAGCAGCGTAGCTGTTGATGCAGTATACCTGGGCTTCACAAAGGCCTTTGACCGTCTGAAGCAGCGTATCCTCCTTCACAAGCTGCAGTGTTGTGGTATTGGTGACCCAATCCTCGGTTGGATAGGCAACTTCTTGCTTCAACATCTGAAGGTAAGAGTTCGCAGCATCGTCTCTAACGCAGTCGACGTTAAGTGCGGAGTGCCCCAGGGCTCAGTACTTGGTCCACGACTATTCCTGATTTACATAAACGATCTCGCGACAGTAATCACCTCCAACTCCTTACTCTTTGCTGATGATCTCAAGATATGGCGAGCCGTTAGAACAACCAGCGACATTGCAGCACTTCAGGCTGATCTTGACAGGGTCTACGAATGGTCGAATCAGAAGCTGCTTCAGTTCAACGCTACGAAGTGCAAGGTGTTGAGCATACGCCATAAGGTCACTTGCGACTACAGACTGGGGGATCAAATATGGCAGCGCACTTTAACGGAATGCGATCTAGGTGTGCTGGTGCAGGAAGATCTGGTCTGTTCCCGTCAGATCTAGAAAGCCTCCAAAAAGCTAACCAACACCTTGGCCTTTTGCGGAGGGCATTCGGGCGCTTCGATCCTTCCATCCTTTCTCAGATGCTCAACGCCTACATTCGGCCCCATTCTGAGTACGCCATCCACGCTTAGCAGCCATGGCAAAAGCAAGACCTCACAGCTCTTGAACTGCCACAACGAAGGGCGACCAAGAACGTAAAGGGCCTGTTTCATCTCCCTTACCGATTGAGGCTGAAAACCCTCGGGGTCTACAGTGGACAATATCGACGCCTGCGTGGCGACTTGATAATGACTTATATGATCCTGAGGAATCCAAACCATTCTTGTCGTCACCTACTAAAGCTGAATCGCAATACGACACTCAGAGGACACCAGCTAAAGCTGGACACACAATACAGCCGGTTGGAATGCCGCCGGAATTTCTTTTCCCTTCGTGTGTAGCAACACTGGAACGCTCTTCCCACATATGTTGTTTCTTCCCCCACGCTAACGGTATTCAAAAGACGTCTGGATGATTCGTTTATTCACTTACATTACGCTACGTACTCAGTGATGTCTACGTCAACCAAACGCGACCAAACGGTGCTCATTCTCAGCTTTTGTGCTTTAGTACTTACACGTTGCTGCTGTGGAATATCGTTCGGATATACTACAACTGCATTCATCGATTACATCAGTTGAGGAAAGCGGCGCAGGAGTGAGCGTTGTTGTTTCTTCTGTTCTTAAGACATACCTACCCCAGATTACTTCCCCGTATTACTTTACAGTAACAACTGAATACGGATTACTAATGAGTAGACGGATTTGGGTATGATTCGATTTGATTCATCGCAATTAGATTCCAAGCCGCATAGGTAAGCTACCAATCCGGAAAAGCACCAGACGCGCATTTCGCCCTATTGGGGCTCGTCAGTGGTGCGCATCCATCGGTCCTCTACTGGGGATCGAACCCATGACCGCTAGAGGCTAACGTCAACTAGCCAGCAGCTTATGCCACTGAGCCATGGGGGACGACAGTCCACCATTGCGAATTGAAACCTAACTGCGATATAGCCCGGCCCATCCTCCACTGCCGTGCAGGTTATTGCCCATGCAGAGAACAGTGGTTGGCAGCCACAGTCAGGTCTTCCCTTGCCAGCTCCGTGAATCCACACAGCAATGTTGAATACTGGTAGGGCGTAGATCTTGATTACTAATGGGTAGACGGATTTGGGTATGATTGGTAGCTTACCTATGCGGCTTGGAGTCTAATTGCGATGAACCAAATCGAATTGAATACGGAATGTAAAAAATATTTTAGTGACGCAGGGCATCTGAATCGCTAGATACTTAAATTGACGCTTTGCACTTATATTTGATTTCATTTCCACCATCCTACGGTACTTGTAAAGCAATCGCTTGTTTACCTGTAATATATCATTGTTCATTGTGCATCTGATTGGCTGCACTTCTAAGATTTCATTGTAACGCGCATATTTGCAGTCAGAGTGGTATATACGTTCCGTTACTACTCTGGTCCTATGCGTTTTCTGGATACAACAAACAGAAATCTTTTTGGATTAGCTGAAGCGGTAGTGGTATTCCATCATCCAGGAGGGAAACTATTATCATCTAATTTGCAAAGCATTTGCGAAAGTGAGAGCAAAGAGCGGGTAGGAACTAGGTATCGAGAATGCCCCAAGGACGTACTTTGTGCTTCTTGTCTCAAAAGGCAGGAGAAGCACCCCTTGCTTACGAATTGGGGAAGGCTCGCAGCACGGTGCTCCGCATTGGCATCATTGCGGTATAATGGAACACACTACACAAAACTGTATGGGGCTTGACTTACCATCACTCCAGAGGACCCCATGTTTTCTAGTACTAGAAGCAATGTTGACCAAGTAACCTTGTCTAGGTGATTAGAAATTAATGGATTGGAACCGAGAGACAGGCGAAAAGAATTGTCACTTACGCGAATAATCCAAGTGTCATCTCTGTAATTTCCTCACACGCATCTTTTATGTTTCCGCCGAAACCAGCCGTGTGACCAATCAATATAGAACTGTATATGTGTTTCAAAGTTTCCTTTGTGGGAGCTGACACATTTAGTACAGAGAAAAGGGACGTGAACCGTGGGTCTACATTTGACCTGCCACCACCCGGTCTTCCCATCGCTGCCAAGTAGCGGATATTATGCAGTCGCTTCCAGTCAAGTGAGGATCCCCGGTCGTACATCCCCTTACGTTCCAGTAGCAGTTTCAGTAGCGCTATTGGTTGCTGCGTGCCGTATGGATCCATTTGTGGCATGTTCAAATCGTCCATGAAGAATAGCAGTTGTTTTCCAGAGACTGGTCCGTAGGTGTTTTTGCTACGCTTTTCCACACACGTTTCTATATTGCGCTGCACATCCATTGAGGTGGTCCGATAAGAGAAATTCATTATGAGCACAACCTGCAGACCATAAAACGTATCTCTCTTAAGTGACGGTACGTGAGATGAAAATGGGCAGCAGTTCACTAAGTTATCAACAATTCACTACATTGAAGTTACGCACGTTGTCAGCTAGGCGGCTCTTAAAAGAAAGGAGCATATATATGTGCCGGTTCACGTTCACAAGAAGGTATAAGCAGTAACCCTCCCCAACATCACATTGCAGTACACAAGGGGAAACCAAGGGCAATATAAGCGTTGATTACTCACATATTTTTCGGGGTCCAGTTCTGCCAAAAATCGTCGGCAGGTGGCCGTTTTCGAAGTACTCGTGTGACCGACGAGAAGCAAAGGTCTATCATTCTTAACCAACTGATCAATCAGCCAGCTAACACGCACCGTTTCTGTAGTGGGTACCAGTAAAGCTGAATACCTTTTACTGGTGTCGTGAATGTACACAGGAACAAGCTGTTGCCAGGGTATCCACACAAGCCTTTGTGTGTCGTATAGATAATCAAATAAAAATCGCTGGGAGCATGGTAACTCTCCTGCTTTCGCTGGATGGTCCCGTGTTTCTGGTTCCGACGTCTCTGGCAAACCGCTGAGATGCTTGACATAGGTATCGAACTTTGCTCGATCCTCATCTATCAGGACGCCACCGACGCCGAAGTATAAGCAGAACAAAAATATGCTTTCGATGTGACAAAATTCTTCCAGTTCATCCTCCCCGAGTAAGCAGTTTAACAAGTGGCACAGCTGAGTTATCAGGTTTAGCGCAGTCAAGGGAATTGCCTGACGTAGCCGATCGGCTTTCTTGCCATCAACTACGCCCACAAAAATTCGATCCAGAACGAGTACGAGGTACTTGTCATACAACTCCGTAAGTGAGTCCTGTTGGAACTTGCTGGTCAAGCTTCGGAGCCAACGCTTCCAATATGGTTCATAGCCAAGGTCCTTGGGGTCAACATAGACCATACCGCATCTCGAGACTGTGGCCGGAGAAGCGTACTGCAGATCGCCGACTTCAAACAGCAAGGCACAGTAGGTCTGTAGCCTGATTCTTTCTCCACTGGCCAATGTAAGGATACGATTATCATCCATGACGGAATTCATGTTCTCCACCCAAATGGGATCCACGTCCCCGTCAAAGAGAATGTAGCGCCGCTCCTGAAACATGGAACAGTCGGAGTAGGAATTAACCGAGATGAGCAGAGTCACATAAAATCGAAAAATAATTATATTAGATCACGAGTATTCAAGTTATGAAATTGCATCAGTTTCACTCTACTGTTCATTGGACAGTCGCGGTGCTAATTACCGTCCCTGCGTTACTCCAAATTCTTTTAGCCACTAGGCTTACTGACGAAATACACTTGCTGGTTCACTGTACGCCCTGTTTCACACCGTTGTCCCTCCAATTCATCCATGAATATTGGAAGTAGTAGAGACACAGCTGATCTTGCGCAGTCGAGCTGCTGTCATGATGACGACAGTCAGATCTAGGCCCACGCGTCACACTCAGTGATCAGGTATTCTCGGTAGGTCCGTTCGATCGGCCAGAGAAAGCTAAGTGGTGAAAATACACCAACATTTATTGGTTGCAATTAAATGCACTGGAAGATGTAAACATGATGAATAACACATACCTTGGAGATGGGGCTCCGCGTTTAAACGAAGGCCGATACTGTGTGGTGACACATACGAACGCACATACTCTTTATTGGACATCTCATACTTGTACTGCTTACAGACTACAGCATAGTATCAACACAAAATGATGGGTCTGTTAAGTTAACCTCAGTTTGACCATAGATTCGAACGCAGCATGTTCTACATGAGTTGAGTGCCAAAGGTAGGTGCACCCGGACCTAACAAGGAATCATAAGGACCGTGATAGTTTCTTATTCGCTGCGTAAGTCGAAGCGAATCTCACACTCATCCACTGAGAGACTTACAAGGACGTCCTCTTCGGCACCGGCAACGCATCTACAAGCATTGCGCTAAGTCAGACAGATTTGCAAAGCATCTGAACGCGGTATGATGATTAAAAGGTGGACTAAATTAAGCAGTTGGGTGATATGGAAATGTATTTCTGGTATTGCTTATGGCTAACTATAGTGAACATATTGCGCCACTCAAAAACGAGGTTTCGATGATAGAGTGAAGCTTACTGCAGTACGCTGCTAAAATCTTGGACATTTGTTAGACGCAACTTACAAACTGGTTAGCAAAACTCACGGGTCGATCAGTAGGTCTGTTGATTTCGCGGAAAATACTGGAAAGGAGACCATCCTTCCAGTCCCTGGTATTTGGATCCAGCACTCCATACAGCTCGGTAACGCTGCGATCCTTGGGATTGATGGGGTACGTTTTCGTTGGCAAGCCCATTTGCGTTTGCGCATTACAAAGTGCCTCAATAACGACCGACTTACCCCCGCCAGTCGGACCGATCACCATAGTGGTATGGCGCGTCTGCATAATCTCGTACAATTGCACAACTTTGTCGGACTGTACTGGGTTTGGAGTGTATCCCAACACCAACAGACTATGTTCCACAGCTTCCATGAATTCTGGATGTTGTAGTCGGGGGCAGCTTAATCCGGGAAATAGGTCTTTGGTTAGTGAAATAAGGAGTGGAGTGTCTTCAGAAACTAATTTGGGAAGATTCATATCTCGCAATGCTCGCATTATAACCACTTCCTCTGGTAGGTCAGCCGCACTGCGCCTTAGCTCTCCGGCTGTAACCAAAACCGATTTCAATGCTCGCAGACCGAAGTCATAATGATACTGTTTGGACAATTGCGCCGAAGCGAACTTATAGAAGGTTGTCATCTTCTTCGCCAACGGCTTGGCGAGCAGAAAGCCTTGAGAGAACAGCATAATCTCGCATATTTGTTGCAAATCCGGTACAACTACGACCACTGGCCTGAATAATGCTTTTACAGATTCCGGCAACTCAGTTCTTCCAGCATAGCCCGGATTCATGGTAATGAACACTCCAACATGCGATTTCAGAGTTATTTCCATACCCTCAAAGAGAATGCGTTGCGCGTGATTCCTCAGAGCAGTTTGGATCATTCTGAGTTGCGTCGAAATGACTGAGAGCACAGAGGCTTCAATGCGATTGAATTCGTCGAAGCAACCCCATGCACCGCACTGGCACAAACCAGAGAAAATCTTTCCTACCGTCTTATAGTCCATTCCTTCACCACAGTTGGTGACTACACATAACAAGCCTAGTGCCTTCGCCAAGTCTTTGACCGTTTCTGTTTTTCCTGTGCCTGCTGGGCCCGCTGGTGCACCACCCAAATACATGGATAGGGCTTGGGTAAGGGTGAGATATATACGATCTGTCAGAGGTGTAATCACCAGGCGTCCGTTCAAGCCCATGTACTCGTAACCATAACTGAACTGCCCATTGCACTGACAAACGATCAAATTATCGGATGCTTTTGACCAGTAAAAACGCAGTTGTGATTCCCAGGCAAATTCTTGTTTTGTCACCACATCGTCACGGATGAAGTCAGTTACAATGTCTCTTGCATGGACGTCGATAGTGAGTACAGTGGTAAATTTGGCGCGGTCATTGTTTGATAACGGGCTGCGGATGCGAACAACCACATCATCCAATTGTTTTTGCTGCATTTGGGAGTAGTCCTTCATAGCATTTTTGTTACCATGGTCAATTCTTCGGAACACGTCTTCCACTTCCCAAGTCCACCAAATTTGATTGGCCGCCAGGACCACCATACCATGATAACGGAATAGCCAGTCGACCCTGAGGATATAAAAACAGCGCATTAGGGTTCCAAATGCCTGGAAGATTGTCACAGGAGAAATGGTGGATGATGCATGCATATAGAAAATTTCAGGTAGTCAGCCCGGCTGCAGAACTACGTAATTAAGTTGTCCCTCGAGGAACGCATGTTCGATGTCTACCCTAAGTTAGACAACATAGTGTCAGCTATACCGATTAATCAGGACAAGCATTCCCTCTTACCTCAATAATGTCATAGGAACATGCGGCTTGTAAGTAAATAATATATAGAGATGGCAGCGCGCCTTCTTTTGACCAGAAAACCCCGTTGCATTGCACAATGAGTCTGGATTGCAGCCAGTAGCCTGTGAGTAGTACATTGGAATTAGGAAGATCGGACGGAAGTGTGCCGACTACAAGCCGTGTAAAACATGCTGCAAGATACTCTCTGTGACAGCGGGTACACGTATGATCAGCGGAAGGCACAAAATTGAGAGACGATGAGATAATTGCAAACGAGCCCCCAAGCTTAGAGCTCTCTTATGTTGTTCAGGCGCATGAACGTGAGTAAAGCCGCTACCTATGCTAGACCATATCTCTCAAGAATGTCGTTGCTATTTCGTTGACGAGAGTCCCCGTATGCCCTACTTACAAAGGACGTGGTCCTAAGCCACTGGGATTGATGTTACGTCTGAGCTAACAACACAGATCTTTCCAGAGGACTAAGCTACATTCCGTAAGAGAACACCAACAGAAATTCGGCCGAAGGCAGCAAGAACACGGTCACCATCTACTGAAAACTCAGTGGGATCGGCGAACCCAGTGATAATACTCCTTGTAGTGCCTGACGCAGGGACTGTCGTAACAGTCGCCATAACCTCCGGAGCGACACAGCAGAATTTAAGTGGCCATCAGAATGATCACAATCCTGAACATATGGTTCAGCAATGTATCCTAAGTCTATGCATACATCTGGTGACTACAAGAAAAAGGAATACTGGTCGACCTCATGAGTATCGGCCGATGCTTATATCCGCTACGAACAACTTCGACTAAGATTCTAACATCAGACTTTCTCTTGTTTATACATCAAATCCCAAGGCCTTCTCAAGAAACTGACAGAATTTTAGCTAAGTCAGGCCCCATTGTCATGGGTGCTAATCATGGTAGCCGACAGTTGGTTGAGTGGTGATCATTGACGACGAAATCGTAATACTTCGGATGTCTATTCTGCGTAAATTTCCACCCAGTAGAGGAGGTGGTGTGCTCCTTTACTACTAGAGCTTGGTCTTATTTGTGATCTAAAAGTTCAGACTGTTGATGCGCCTTGGTGCCGTCTTCATCTAAGACGCAACACAAGTTTAGTAGGTGCAATGTACCACCATCAGTCGTCTACCTTGGAAATAAATAATGGCCAATTATCCACTCTGTAGACTGTTTTGGTGTGTTCACAGAACTTCTCCTGGTGATCGCCTTCAAACTACAAGGCAGAAACACAAACCAGTATCGACGGACAATTGAAAGTGGAATTGCAGGAGCTAATCGCTGGCTTACCGCACTACAACCACGTTATTTTCCTTAAACATTCATAAAAGGGAAAATGTAAGCTGCTTTGAGACTCGTATGCTCCCCATGCCCCAAGCTGACGCTGATGTTGCATTATTGGTGCTTCTTCACCGCAGTTGGGCTAAACCAACTTAAACTATGTTTTTTAGGCTGGATAGATTTCATTCCACTTTATTTGCTTTGTTCTGCCTATCTGAATAATCTTCTATTAACTGGTCATGTTGCTTACATTAATTGCGCTTATCTTCGCTAACTTTGTTGCGTTTGTAGCATTTTTAAGTAATTGGTGGACATTTTTTCCTTATCGCGAAATCGTTGCTAACCAACCTACTTCATATGCTAATTTAGCGAAGAGTTATGTCACCGTATCTGTATGCATTATTCGATTTGTTTTATTTCATCATGTCGTTTCAACTGATTGGCTGTTGCTTGAAATCCCCCGTGTTGCTGCGAGTGATGTGCATGCTGACAAAGTGCCTACTTGTCTAGTACCCACTACCTCGTCCATACTGGCTCCAGGAGGCAGTTGGTCGTTGCTGGAGGGGACGGGATGCACAGTCGTTGTGGCCGTGCTAGGCTCGAACAGCGGTTCCATGCACGCAGTGTGGAGCGGATTACGGTCCAGTCACCGCCTTGTGTGCGCTTGATTCCCCAAATACAGCGTGCTTGTGTTTGCTTGTGAAAGAGTGTGAGTGGGCTCCGTTGATGAAACATGGCTCCCATCCACATGCCTCCTGGTCTTATTCCTTCGGGTTTACACTGGATATGGGGTATGTGGTTGGAGCTGTGGGTGGTGCAGCGCAAGCCACCCATGGTCCCTCTGTAGGCGCAGACGTCCTGTGGCTGGCCACAGGGACAGGCAAATCCGGACACGGATGACGCCAAGTATGCTCCAACTAAGAACTTTGTTCGAAACGCTATTGATAGGTATTCCTCTGGGTCGCAACGCTGGTACCCAACTACTTCTGTTATGTGGAGTGTTCCTACGGAAATGTCAACAATTCTCAGCTCAGTACAGTACCCTATCAACGCAACTGGTTGTTTATTTCTAGCAGAACAATCCCCAACATCACCTAGTGGGATTTTACCGATCGATTCAACAAGGCAGTGATGAATGCATCGAGAAACAGACCCGCACACCCGATAGAAGCCATTCATACAAAGTGAGACGGGAAAGTGTTTGGCCGCTAGAGCATAACTGTGGCCAACCTACAATGACTGACCGAGTGTTGAAACTTTGGAAACCTATACAACCCTGAGAAATCACCGTATGAATCATATACGAGATGGTAATAATATAAAACGCAACAGGATCATGATGTGCAAATCTGCTCAAATCCCCAACTCTTTAACAGGCACCTTAACAAACACCGTAAAGTGCAGCATGGATTTCCTGTCGTGCACATGTCATGTAGACCAGCAGAAACTGCACAAGATGGGAGCCAACGCCCTACATCAGCAGTTCTTCTTTAGTATCTAAAGCACAACTACATCTCCTGTGTCGTTCACGCAGATTATACGGCCGCCGGACCTAGGTGTATCTCGTTTAGGGCCGCATACGTTTGTAGAAGAAAATCTTGCGGGAGTGTACCTGGTTATCAATACACGCCAAAAGGCCATTAAGTTGGCCGGCGTGAATCTATCCGAAGCTCTCTCAGTTATTCCACACATATTTCGATGACATGCGAATTTCAGCAATGTGGAAACATGGAATTGTCACTCCCATTCGCACGGGGGAAGTTGCGCAGATCCGGTCAGCTACCGCCCGATAACACTCCTTGCAGTACTTTCCAAATTCATGGAGATCATTACAGCTGGACGCTTATTGGTTACCTGGGGAAACATCATTGCACCAGAACAGCATAGATTCCATCAGCACCGGACTTGATCCCAAAACCTGCTATCTGCTCGCTCCAGCTGGACTGAAGGTGTCGATGCTGATGTACGGGTTAATGCAGTTTATCCGGACTGTTAAATGACGTTCATCCGTCTGAATCACCGTATGCTGCTTCACAAGCTTCAGAGATTTGGAATCGGCGGTCAGATCTTAGGTTTCGCAGGTTACTTTCTCATTCAGTAACCTTTGAATGTGAGAAATCGCAACACCACATCCTGCCCCGTTGAAGCGCATTGTGTATGGCCATAGCGTTCAGTACTTGGTCCACGCCTATTCTTGGTCTTCATAAACGCTCTCGCGAGAGTGCTCACATCGAATTTAACACTTTTCGCTGGTGCTTACCAGACACTACTGGCTATCATAACAACAGCTGACTATATAGCACTGCAGGACGATCTATACATAGTGTTACGAGGGAACGACTCCGAACATATTTTCTTTCAACGTAGCAATGTGTAAGACATTGCGTATACGTCGTCGATACATTCGGGAGTACAAACAGGAGGAGTTCTGATACAAACCGATCCTATTCGTTTACGTCAGACCTGGAAAGCACCAAAAAATCCCATTAATACCTTAGCCTACTACAGAGGGCACTTTGGCGATCTAACACTTACATTTGCTCCCAGGTGCCAAATGCATATATTAAGCCCTATTTATCATACGCCATCCACGCCTGCCAGCCCCAGCACAAACATGGTGTTGCCGCACCGGAAATTCTACAATAGCGGGCGACCAAGGAAGTGAAGGGCTTGTTTCATCTCCTTTACCATCTGAGGCTGAAAATCCTGTGGGTCTACAGTGGACAGTATCGGTGCCTACGCAGTGATTCGATACTGATGTATCAGATCCTGAGGAATCCAAACCATGTTTATCGTCAGTTTCTGAAACTGAACCCCAACACCATACTAAGAGATGGTGAGTTTAAACTGGCCGCACAGTACAGCCAGTTGGAATGCTGCTGGAATTTCTTTTCAGTTCGTGTGTACCAGCCTTGGAGCACCCTACCCATTTACCTGATCTCTTCCCCAAACATTAATGATAGTTATAAACGTCTTGAAGATGTACTCATACAGTTACTGTACGTGACATAACACTTGTTGACCGTGTCACGAACAATCGCCGTGCTCGGCCTAACTCGCTGGTGAATCCACCAAGTTTTGTAGTATACTCGTTGATGCCACTTTGCTCTCTGAATTATTCACGCCCTCTACCTCATGGGACTTGTGTAGAAATAATTTCATCCATGGTAAACCAATTTCCATGATTTCCATTGTAAAAGAGCGGAAGCATGCAGATGTTCGCGCTGGCCATGATTGGACCGACATGTGTTTTTGCTAAAATTCAGCTTCAGTAACTGACCATTCTGGTGGATCCAGCAACTGTCACTGCCACTCGAGAGGTCAACTTCTGCTGGGTACGAGGAAACCGTGATATGGTGATGCTCTCCCACCCCAAAACGCCGACGTCACGCAGCTTTTTGGGCATAAACAAACCAACTCAAATCAAAACCAGCTTGTAGGTGCCATTTTGTTTGAACGAGCCGGAGTGGCTAGTT